GAAAATCACGCATTCTGAAAGGAGCAATAATGTAGATTAAAATTGTGCTTATCGCTCACATGAAGCTCTCATTATAGGTGATTTGTTGGATTCGATATACAAGCGATTCACCTTGTTCAAGGAAAACACACGGAATGACAACCACCATTGTGAGATTTGTTCATTAAAATTTGAATAATACGATTTAACAAGCCGTGCCACCGTAGATTCAACGCTGTAATCAAATGACAGTAGTAGTTCCACTAAACGAGTGCATATACACTACACTGTGTTTATATACTGGGCGTCTGTCACTGAATGTTGTTTAAACCCATACAATGTTGTTTCACGGTAAAATAATAATAACTAATAATAACTAACAATATACCTGGTATGAATGATACATTTTTTTTACATGTGAGCATATTTATTTGTGTAAGTATCACTCAACAGTACGTGAACTGATTTTTGTTTCATTCTATTTTGTGTGTGAGAAAAATAGTAAAATAATATGGAGAAAATGTCGTTTTAGCAGCGGTTCCCGTAGATTAAAATGGAAACACATCTTCTTCACACAAATCCCATTAAAATATTGTCAATTTTGTATTGCTTGAAATGTATACATCAAAACGTATCTTGTGAAACTCTCTCTATATTTGTTTTCACTAAATATATCTTTGCAATGGGAACAATAGTAAAAGGGAAAACGACAATATTTTTAGTTTTGTGTAGCGTTAAATGCAGATGGCAGCTGAGATCTCGAGGAAAGCAGGGGCCACAAAACTTGTTTTGTTCCTCAAATATTGGTCCGCATCAACTGTCCTCCTGGCCGATATAACCATGTTATTCGGAAAGTTGGCGTGATAATTGGATAAAATTGAATACCATTTAAAGGGTAAAATAATGTTTCGTGGCTATCTCGCTCCCAGCAAGATCTCGTCACCCATTTGTGTCTAAAGCCCATTGAACAGAGCGAACAACCAACAATCCATAACATTTTGGAAATATTAAAAAATGGTTATTATGTGTGAGAAGTCATGGGAATATACATACGGCTGGTTCTGCTTCGATGCCGACTAGATAAATAGTCTGCGCAATAGCCAACGACGCAGCAAGATTTGCATGAAGTATAATACGTTGAGATTTCCAAAGTCTGTTGGTGAGAAAATATGAATAGATTTCAGCATAGTCACTGAATTTACGTGAGTTTTAAAGGGAATATTATCGCCATATTTCCGCGACAAAGCCTCTCTGTGACGTAAATACTAGTAGGTGCCAGAAAGTCCGTTTCTACTACAAACCAACTCCATGAGCATACTTTGCTATATGTAGCGCCCTCTATCGATTAAGTGTTTCCGTGTAGTAAAACGAGTCGTCACCGAGCCTTTTGTCAATATATACTAGTAATAAACCACAGAGGGACTGTGAATAAACCAAATCCCCCTAAAACAGTTATAATTCATTGGCAGACGACTAGAGATCAAAACAATATCGGCGTTGTAAACAACCGACTTTCCCGGAAGTAGCGAGACTGGGGTGCAAAAATACTCCTGCTTTGTCATGTCAGTTAGCTGGTAGTTGATAGAAGGGAATTTTATTTTTGTGACGTCGATTAGTACACAAAGAAGCACAACATCACGCGTGCAAATTTACGTTACACCCCAAAACGGTATGCGCGCGTATGCGAAACGCCGTATCTTCGACTTCCGGGAAAGTCGTCTATTTACGTCACAGAAGCACGTCACTAGAGGGCGCTATTTTCAGGAAAGGCATATGCGCGGGGAACTCAAACGAGTTTTGAATAATACTGTAACAATACCTCAATCTCAACAATACACAAATGTATGCATTCAGCATTTACAAGTAATCTAACCCATTATATATATTTTTCTGATCATACGGGCATTTAGATAATTGCGTACGTGCGTGTAATGAACACGCATGGCTACTACATAGGTTTCTTTTGTTATACTCCTGGCAACTTGAATTAATTTCCGTTGTAATATATTCGTTATTCGCAAATAAATTTGTTTAGCACAATATTATAAATAAATGTCAATTGTAGCATTATCAATATTATATAAATATCGCAGTGAAATTAATAATACCATCGAAGTGAACATCCTTGCTATCTGTAGATAACAACATGTATTGTAATATTAATAATGGTGAAAAGCACCGTACCACACCGTGCATCATTAGATAAACCGTTGCCAATAGATATACTTGGCATTTGTGCGTGAATACAAATATAGTGTCCTGGGTAAATAAACCACATAGTAAAATACCAACCACTCATATACCATAGGCGCCATTTTCCAAGTCGGGGCTATTATGTTTAATCCAAAACGCATACTCTTTGTAAATATGTCGTACTTTTCAAAATGGTACGAACCCCATATTCATTTATACGACAAACACGGCGGTAATAGGCGAATGTGACCGCTTTCCTATGCTTGAACGTGAAACGATGTAACAAGTGTGCTCCCGTCACAAACATTTTTCTCATCCGGTTTTCCGTATAATTTTAATTTAGGTGAATTGGACAGACAGATGGTTGCCATAATTTAAGCAAAGTTTTTTATATTTTTTACGGTTTTTGAATATGTATGGTCAACCAAAAACTAAGGAAAATAGACACATTCATCGATGAGTTCATGGCCAAAAGCAAAGAACATTTCATGTTGAGAAAATGCATTTAATGTAATATTTGTTTTTGTAGAATTTATGTTTTGTATACAACTTTAGTTTGATAACTTTTTATATTGAAATCATGTTGCACAATTTATAACTGTTAAAATACATATTACATGTATTTGAATTATTTGAAATCCGTCACCGTAACACCATAAGTTTCAGCGTGCCGTAATTTTGCGGTATTTTTATTATCCCACCATATTAGGAAACGCGAATCCCAAATATGGAACGATTACGCGCGTAAGCGTCCTCTAATAATAGAAAACAAAGACGGCTGACCCCAGGCATTCTCCTTCCCAGAGATCCTTGCGACCAGAACACCACAAGCATTTCTGCCACCACACACAGCCATTTTGTGGTGAAACACCACAAGACTTTTACTATTTTAATTATTTGCGTATTTTTGTTATTAGAGGGGTCTCGTGTTGATTTATTCCTACTGATGAAAAGTTTTAAAATATTTCATCGATTTCATCGTAAACGCACTATCAAGGGTGAAATAGTTATAATTTACAAAAGAAAATAATTTCAACGCGGGATAACGGTTACTAAGGTATTACTCGGTTCATCAAGATGACGGCCATGTCGATTGCCAGGTGAAAAATTATAAGCAAACGAAAGCACTTCGTGGTATTGACAGCTAACTCGCCCTATTGCCACTCCGTTTGTGCTATGAAAAATAAAAATTGAGCTTCTCACTTTGAAAACAGCCAGAATCTACAAAAAAACGCGTACGCTTTCGTCGGATTCGAAAATCGAACACCTGTACCACTGTGAAGCATCGACCAATCAACTACTAGCATACGATCTCGTGGTGGCAGAGATATATTCGTAGAAATGGATCTCTGCGTGGGTGATTAACCGGATCCCACAAAAAAGTTCGCTAAATCTGTTCTAAACGTTTTGGATTTCGGCATTCCCAAGATGTATTCCTGGGAGGAAAAGACAGTTCGCGGTCTCATTAATCTCCGCTGCGCGTCGGTCGATTCTCCGCTGTACTGTCTTCGTGCATACTTTGCAGTATCCTTGTAATAACCTCAGAATATCCTCGGGGCGGAGCTACGTCACAGACGTTCCACGTTGCTAAGACGCGCACCACTGTACCATGCATTTCTATGGGCTCTGTGCGCGCTGCTGTGGAACGCCGGTCGAGCCGGTGAAAATTCGAGAAAACAACACTAACTCAACTTTGAAGTAATCCTAAACAACCACATTTATATATGTTACACACGTAGGGCCAATCTTGTTACACTGTTCAGAGGAGTCTCAACAACCATCCCAAAGTACCGTTTTCTGGGAGTGTTTGGCCTTTGTTTTCACCGCCGGGGTTGCCAGGCGGTGAAAATGCCCGGATGTCCGCCCCGAGGATACCCCATAACGTGAGAATACCTGTGTTTAGGGATTGGTCAGTTACTTCGGCCTAGGGGGGGGGGTCGGCAGATTCCATTTTGCCAGCTGTAAATCTCAGTTGACCCACCCCTATCAAATAAAAAAGAAAGTGGGTGACCCCCCCAAAAAACATTATATTTTAAAACTTAAAACATGCTGCCCCCCAAAAAACAACAAAAAAACAAAGAAACATTAACAGTTTTGGCTCTGACACGATTACAAAATGTATTATATGTGCATTGAAAATATCATGGTTTGCCATAATTTTGACATAATTTTTAGCGTTTGCATTTAATAGACCTTAGGAGGGGAGGGGAAGCATAAAGCCAAAAAATTACTACAGAAAAGGCTACAGGAAGGAGGGAAATCTATGTTGCTAAAGATAGTAAATAAAAGCAAAGCTGTGGAGTACTCACTCAATATATGCCCTTATATTTTAATTTATATATCAGCATTTTCACAAATTTAACTTTTTTGACTTGCTGAACAAAAACTGTCACTGCTCTTTGTACTAATTGCTGTGTTGTCTTCCCGTCTCCTGATATAATTGGATAAATCCAGTAAATATCTTATACAATGGTGAGTGACTTCAGACTTTAAATAAAATAATATGATATGATATGATAATGTTTAAAACTTAACTGTATAATTGGGGTTCTAGTCGCATTGCACAATCTGTTAGTTATTTGGCAACTTTAACCACAAAATATTTAGCCTATAACATTTTTCGCATCAACAAATTTATAGGCAATATAGGTAATAGTTATTATTAAGAACACTTTTGTACGATTAATTTTTTTATCGTTTGTTCTGAAATAAATTTTAAAAAAATATATGCATGAGTGCTGTGAATTCTGGAAAACATGATATCAAAAACAGGGTGACCCCCCCTAATCGCACAATCAAAAACAGGGTAACCCCCCTACTGATCCACCGACCCCCTAGGCCGAAGTAACTGACCAATCCCTTAGATCTGAAGAACGGGAGAGGCAAACTCGAGATCAGGGGTGGTCAACTGAATGAAAGGGATCAACAAACGATTACTTAGTAATTTAGCTACCCTCTTCATAAATACTGAATTGCCACCCCCCCATCGTTGAATGCAAGACCATGCTATATAATACATGTAAACATAGCAAGAGATATAGAAGTGAAGTTTCCCACAATACACCGCTCTAACATACCTGAGGTAGGTGTAGCAACCCAGCGTCATAACGAGGCAGAATATTGAGGTCACACTGCAAATATACGTAAGATTCTCAAGAGCCAATGAGTGAGCTCGTGTCAGTGGAATCTGAAAGGAACGTAATGAAAAATGAGTAAATTTTATTTGTCTAAAAATAATAATAATAAAATACTTCCTGTCTTGTTTTAAACAACCATCAGCTTATCTATTCCAGTTACAGTGCATCCATTCGTTTTCCCGCCAACATATAAATCTGTATAAACCAGTTTCTCGATTCAATTAAAACAAAATAGTAACATATGTCGATTATTATTAAAATCCAAAATTAGTATTGAAATTATAAAAAAATCAAGATAGCGCAAAAGTGTAAAAAACAAACAAAAAACACACAGAACGCGACCGAGTCTCTCCGCGACGAAGCAGAACCACCGAGTATCTCCGATATCAATATAAATGACTTCAAAATGATGCCCCAAAATGCTTTGCGATTGATTTCGAGGCATCATCACTTGTTGTCTTTCACGTGACACAACACTATATCTATTTACATTTGGAGTAAGTTGTACCTGTGTACAATTACAGTGGGATCTCATCCTCCTATTGAACCCGACAGAGATTTGATGCAGTTTAATGAATATCGAGTCAGATTATATTCCCGAGACTGAAAACAAAATAATGAAATGCATAAACAGAATGTGCCATTTCCTTGACGACGACAATATTTCCAACTTTAATAATTTTCCCGATTTAGTTTTAAATTACAGTGACCATCAAAGTACGTTTCCGACCTTTTGTACAGATGATTGAAAATATAGGAAATAATTGAAGAGCTTTTGTATAAGTTGCGATTTACAGAAAATCATTCATAAATAAATACAGACGCAATTTGTCTGTACCGGTGTAGTAATGGAATTGAAGCCAATTAATTGATTTTTCTTGACTACTCATCTACGATTGAGATCGTACAAAAATGAAGGGTGGAAAAGACGAATTAAATTGATTTTGAATTTTCATCTGAAAACCGAGTTGAATCACTTCCTGAGTTGCACTTTAAACCAAACTATAAACCCTACATATTGCAAGCACGAAGCCTGTATGAGTGAAACTCAGGGTGTGGTACTGTCGTTATCTACTTACGCACCTATCGTTAATTAGTCAACAGATTAGAATAGTGTGAATTGACCTTAGGCGCAATTGGCTGCTGAGATCTCGCTGAAAGCGAGAGTGCTGCGAGACTTGATTTTGCCACTCAAATAGTGTGTCATTCTCTCCCATTACCACGTCCACTGTTCGCCTAAAGTATGACGCACGCGAGAGCTATCAGATCATACAAAATTCATTCGTGGCTATTTACCTAAGCCGATAGCTTCCGTTCGCGGTCAACGCGAGATTTTGAACACTCGTGTCGATAAGGTAAATATCAATTGTGTTTGCTAACCCCGGGTACACATGGAAGCTATCTTCTTAAACAAATAGCCAAGAACGAATATTGACTGGTTGGTAATCACAACGATGACGGATCAAATGCTTCAAAGGTATCTCGGATATGATTAATATCAGAGGTACATTACTTGGGGTTTGAAACTCGCATAGTACTGTATGGTGACATCATGTCAAGATCCCATTCAAGTCTCTTCTCGTAGATAGCGAGACTGAGGCTACGACCTTCTGACATGACACATATCAATGTTCAAGGTTTGTAATGAAAAAATAAAACTTTTCTTGTCACTATCATAGTGAAAAATGTAATACATCGAAAATGTACAGAAAATATAGTTCTCGTAATCCGTCATATCGTGGGCAGCTATTTTGATCCACCTGGACATCCCAGTATCCTAGTTACTTCGGGCATGCGCATTCGCATTTGGAACGCTTATGCGAGAGCGAGATTGTGACGGGATCTTGGTATCATGTCACCGTAGTTACAAACCCCAAGTAATGTACCTCTGATAATATATAAGGCCATGTACGCGGAAACGAGCGGCAATTAATATTAAACATTGAATATAACAATTATTCAAGGTAACTGGTTATCTATCTGTTACAGAACGCGTCACGGCAGTCAATCGTGTTTAATATCGGTCCCATGTGACGTAAAAAACGTGTGTAAAATATATTGTTTGTTTACACGTTATTCGAAAACCGTGGCACTTTATAGCGGGTGAGTCGTCACCTGCGCGTGCGTCAGATGGCCATAGCGTGTCATTGTTTACAAACACGCGTCTACCCATGAGCCTTTGCGTTTTTAGCATGCGTTGTTATCGTCGCTTGGAACTCAATTCCCGCGCGTGTGCAGGTTACGACCCTTCCGCTTTAAGCAAGCATTATCGTTAATAACTATTTTCCCAAATTAAATTGGTGTTTTCAAACGAAGTAGAAGCATAGTAGAATTTTCAAATTCTCACACCATTTTGTGTTCAAAATACAGAAAACTAACTTTTAATCCAAAGATTATTAGTGGGATTGTTTGAATCATAATCTAATTAGAGTCAATTTTAATCCGTTTTGTCATTAATTTGGTTACAAATGTCTCTTGTCCAAGTAAGGTTGTTAATCACAATCCATAAATAATGGTTAAGCAAGGAAGAACTATTTTATTTAGTGCGTATTGCGTTCAAGAAATACATTGTAAAACAATATATTAACAGTTTAGATATTAAGTCATACGATTAAACATTGTTTGTTTTTATTTTGACTTTTCCGCATAGATTTTAAAAATGTTCGCCGGATAGCGCTGGTTTTGAATTAATATACATTGATTAGTTAAGTTAACCA